AGCTAGCGCAGATAGCCCTCATGTAGCTTTGTGCTTAATTACAAACTAAACTAATTCTATTAGTTCAGAAACATTTACAAGCAAACAAATGAATAAACATCACAGACAAAACAAAAATGGACCATTCAAGAAAAAATTATCCTTAGTTATTGCGGCATGAAGAGAATATATTATTAACCAAGGTAAATACAATCGTACAATAAAAAAAAACATTAGCAAATTAATCATGATAAAAGTAGAGAGTATTACGATGCTTATTGTTAACTGTATAAAATGAATAACGTAAATACAACCATAGAATAAAACATTAGCACATTAATCATGATAAAAGTAGAGTGCATTGCGATGCTTATTGCTAATGCCCAAAATGTCCTAAGTTTCAACACACTACTCTCAGTGTAGAAGGCGAGAGTCATCATGCTGCTTATTATTAGATAACGAAGAAAATAAAGTCAACAATAGGCATTTGTTATCATTAGGTCCACAGAAAACAGTTAAAAACAGATTATTGTTAGCTTTGAAGCAGAGCAGAGATGAAATGAATTAGATTTGAAGAAGGAGGATGTTGAAATAATTAACTTTTTCCAGTCATTTAGAGAGTAAAAAGTTTGTTAATTTATAAGAAATGTATATTTAGCACATGTGGTATAAAAATGTTATCAACAAATATTTTACCACTCTATATCTTTAATTTTCTTTTAGCTCATACGCAGACATTAATGTATTATCATTTGTTGAAAATATCAATATATTTTTATCATCGCTTTTTTTTGGGGGGGGGATTCATGCTAAGCGATACAAAGGTCCCCTCGCTGTTACTCGGAGTATGTGAAATTGGAGTGCAGTTTAAAAGTATTAAACTATTATTCGCGACTGTACATGTAGTATAAAGTTTAGAAGATTATAAAGGGGCCCCCCTCCGGCTCATCGGTAAATCTGAGGACTTATAACTCTAAACACCGGGTTTCGATACCTGTAATGCGTACAGCACTTATAGCGTTACGACAAAACAGTAAGTTTATAAACATATTTTTGTACTTTATTACACCAGAACACAATTTCTTTCGTGAAATAAAGTCAAACAAAATGAAATGTACGTTTTGAAACATATTTATTGAAAAGATATCCCCACGTTTGTTTACTAACAATGTGTTCTAGACACATTTATTTACTAACGATGTGTTAAACCCACATTTGTTTAATAACGATGTGTTCTAGTTACATTTATTTACTAACAATGTGTTATACCCACATTTATTTTCTAACAATGTGTTTTAGACACATCTATTTTCTAAAAATGTGTTGAGCAGTGACACTCTCTTCATTATTATCTCATTGGCAGTTTTTATAACTGGGCTTCAAATTTCACTTCAGCCATATACACTTTCTGTATTTGAAAATAAAAGAAACAATAGTAAGGGAAAACTTTAGTTAAAACGTCTAGTTTATCTTTAAATGTGTATTTTCGGCTCAGCCTAAAAGAATAATTTTTCTTGGTTAATAACGGAATCAGAATGCTTTTAATGTGAGTAATCGCTTTACGCGTGTAAGTAAAATCATTTTTTCAAAAACGCGAAGGACTCGAAATGCATAAGGAATTGTGCAATGTTATCAATTCGGTCGAAATACCTTCACCACCACTTCACTGACTCTTAATAAGCGCTCCTTGTACAAAACCTAACGAAACGTTCTCGTTTTATTTCAATTTCAAATATTCCTCGTGTAACAGCATATCGTTGTTAAGAAACTCGTTTCATAATATAGGTTATGCATATAGTTATTTATAAAAAACATTCTTCTCAGTTAGCCTAAACGTTTAATCCAATGCAATCTGACGTGTCGGTTTTCCATTAATGTTTTCAATTAAATTGGTATTTGAAATTATTACAAATATATAGAAGTGTTTATTTGGAAATATTTCATGTAAAGCCATAAAGTATCGTATTTATAATTCCTTTTGAAACGATTAGCTTGCGACATGGGTCTTACATGTTTCTGTTTTTCCATAGGTCTTCAGGTTGTACTAAAGTCTATTCTCAAGGCAATGGCTCCTCTTCTTCAGATTGGTCTTCTGGTATTGTTTGCCATCGTTATTTTTGCCATTATTGGCCTTGAATTTTACAGTGGTGCTCTTCATAAAACGTGTTACAGCATAGAAGATAGAAGTAAGTATCTCTGTAATACAGTTTACAGTAAAACATAAATCATGCAGTGGTAATAACAAATGCTTTCTGCGTAGTCCTCGAACAGAAACGTGACTATTTTGATTTTTTAGAGAGACGTGTTTTTTTTTCAATTAATTTTGTTTTGTTTTTACTTTATTTCTAAAATATCTTAGATTGAATATGAATCCCGTTTGTTCGTTGTCTTTTTAATGTCTAGATATGTTCTGATATTGAATAGCTCGGTATGTCATCTTGCACACATTCTGTCCACTTTTCTTTAATTTTGGAATAGTCTGATTAGGTATAACTATATTCTTTAAGTACTTATTTTTTCGAATTTTCTGTTAAACAGTTTTTATCTACGTGAACGACAAAGATTTAAAACATTTATATTTATTTGACCATGAAGAGCTAAGATAATATATTTACCTGAACGCGAGGAGCTAAGATTATTTATTTGAAAATGAAGAGCTAAATAACATTCCTTTACCCGAAAATGAAGATACTTTATTTGTTTTGAACATGAGATGCTAAGACATGTTTTTGTGTTTGAACATGAAGAGTTAAGATACTTTCTGTATTTGAACTTAAAAAGTTTCTTATTACAGATATTAAACCAGTATCATGCGATCACCTCGAATTGGGCAGAAGAAAAAAAAAAAGAGACAAATTAACAAAATAAAAATGGACGCTATTCTTTCTTTTTGAGTGCATTAATCTTAAACTTCACTGCAGAATATAAATTGGAAATAAATTCAAGTGACATGCGCAATGTAACGAAATTATCTTGATTTGGTATGTTTAGAATATCGCACTAGCCGTCCATAATTTAGCAGTGATAGCTAAAGGGAAGGCAGCAAGTTCACTGCCAACTGTTGGGCTACACTTTTACCAACAAATAATGGGATTGGCCGTCACATTATAACGTCCACACTGCTGAAAGGCAGAGCATGTTCGATGACGCGGATATTAAGTGATCTAAACTAGTAGAATGAAATATTTGATTCTGATTAAAAGCTTTATATACAAGCGCTAACTCAACTAGTATTTTTTACTTTGCAATTTCCACAAATAATTTGTCCTTTTTTTTAGTCATTCTGTGTTGTTTGTTGTCAGTGATTGGGTGGAATGTTTACTTAGTTGTTAGAATAAAAACTGAAACTCTTATTGTTTATGACATTATCCTTCAAACTTTATCCTAACTTAAAAAGTATAGAAAAAAGGATATATCTGGGGTATCTACACTGCACGATAACTCTGATAATAAACTGAGAGAGAGAGAATAATTAAGCATTGTCCTATAGAGGGTGTTGTGTCAAAAAGTCTGGAAAATATAAAATGATGATTATTTTACATATTGTTTACAAATGGGATTACCACAGTGTCACAAGTACGATAGTTTTTCCATTGAAAATATTAACTTATCTTTATGAATTTTGTGTATTTCTTTAGTAGTAAAATTATAGTTTGTATGAAATCTGTAAAATTTGTACTATTGTTGACTAACATAGAAGTAGTGGTCATACATTACGTCCAGACGAGTTTTTTTTTTTTTGTTAATGTTTAGACTGATTATTCGTTATTATTTTGTAAATTGTTAACAAGTTCACATAGGATCTCTCCTTCAACCAGAATTGTCTTGGTGACAGGAATCGCTCGTCAAAAATCTGGGAGTTATCTGATTTTGTTTATATAATGTAGTAGATTATAGAATATGGCGATTACAATTTACAGTTTCAAAATCGGACAAAAATTGACCAAGTTATGAGTGACCGCATAATCAGCAGAAACGCCATTGTTGTTTAACCAACAGGTCTACTACATGAGTCTTCTTCTTCTTATGTCGTTGCATCTGTTTTGCAGACCAGAATCCAATACATCTCTGCCAGGTAGCTTCAAACTCCGCTAACCGTGGCTAAAAATTTGATACCCTTCGATGTATTCCGAAGCCTTGCATGGCCAGGTGGCTAGGGCGCTCGACTCGCCATCTGCGGGTTCGAATCCAAGTCCCATCAAACATGCTCGCTCTTTCAGCCGGTCAATCGCACTATTCGTTGGCAAAAGAGTAGCCCAAGAGTTGGCGGTGGGTGATGATGTCTAGTTGTCTTCCCTCTAGTCTTACGCTGTTAAATTAGAGACGGCTAACGCAGATAACCCTCGTGTAGCTTTGCGCGAAATTCAAAACAAACAAGCAAGGTTCCGAAATGTCCGAATTGTAACCTATGTAACCGATGCGGATACGATTCGGATTATAACTTTTTACATCCCTTGTTAAAGCAAATCCATTTATCAAGCCCAAAGATGCTGTGGCGACACTCAAAAATGGGTTTGGTGCTGACAAGGACAGTAGTGATAGCAGTAGTAGTAGACTTTCGCTAGATGAGACGATCAAGAACAAGTTCTCCAACTTCAAATAGACAATGAAGAAAGGTTGTATAAGTTGGTAAAGTGGTTGTGTCGTTGTTGGTAAAGTAGTTGTATAAGTTGGTAAAGATGTTGTGTCGTTGTTGGTAAAGTGGTTGTATAAGTTGGTCAAATGGTTGTATAAGTTGGTAAAGTGGTTGTGTCACTGTTGGTAAAGTAGTTGTATAAGTTGGTAAAGAGGTTGTGTCGTTGTTGGTAAAGTAGTTGTATAAGTTGGTCAAATGGTTGTATAAGTTGGTAAAGTGGTTGTGTCGTTGTTGGTAAAGTAGTTGTATAAGTTGGTCAAATGGTTGTATAAGTTGGTAGAGTGGTTGTGTCACTGTTGGTAAAGTGGTGCGGTCCTTTCTAAACCCTTTGTATCTTTGACTGCTCATAACTCTTGAATGAAATACGTTACCATCATATAGATTGTATATTTGGGGGCAGCAAATCCGGGACTTTCCAACGGTGTGTGCTAACCTGCCCAAGGAACAATTATCGCAATTTCTTAGTCTTTAACATACCACCCAAAACGTTACTTCGCCCCTGGCTGAGGGAGAGATCCTGTGTTAAAAACAAGATGTATATAAAAGTAGACTGAAATAAGCAAATATACTTATGAACATGTTATATAATAATTTATAGATTCGTAGCTTCTTAATAAGGCTAGTCTCTTATATCTACATCGACTTTCTTATGAGGTCCTGACTTCACTTTTTTTCTGTCTTTAAAGCGGAGATAGTTACAGAGGGAGAACAGGAAGTCCCCTGCTACCAGACTCCTGATCCAGCTAACGCTCCTTTCGGCGCCCATACATGTGCCATCGATGTTGCCTCATGTCTGGAGGGTTGGATTGGCCCAAATTATGGGATCACCAGCTTTGACAATATCTTCTTTGCTATGTTAACTGTTTTCCAGTGTATTACACAAGAAGGTTGGACGTCCATTTTATACTGGGTAAAGTATATTCACTCACGTGGACCACAAAAAAAATCTTGCGATTACTTAAATAAAACGTTAACAGCAACAACAAAGGAAGGTGGACTGTTCCATACCGTCTTTTAATAGCAAAACAACGTATTTTTGTTATAGATTTACCTATGTGAAATGTTAAGGTGTTAAACGTTGGACAAGTTATTTTTAAATTGATAATATATATCATGCTATGAAATATCAAAGTTGAAATGACAGTAAATCTATTTAGATGCAATGAGAGTCACTTCATTTTTTCGGTTTTGCTATTGAAGCCCCTCGTAATATTATGCACGAAACTCGAGTTGAATTGCTATTGGTCGTTTCAATTATATTTCTTTGCGTGTAATCCAACTATCTCTCTGCTTCATTGCTTATTTTCCTTTACAGACCAATGATGCGTTAGGAAGTACATTCAATTGGATCTATTTCGTGCCTCTCATCATACTCGGGTCGTTTTTTATGCTCAACTTAGTTCTTGGTGTTCTCAGTGGGTGAGTAAAACATTCTGTATTTTAATGAACTTCGGAAACATTTATTAAATTTCGCGGATTATTGTATTCGTTTTACTTTTATACCCTTTCGGTGACTTTAACATCAAGGGATTTTAATATAATATTAGCAGTTTTAATGATGTAACTAAATTAGTTAGGCGATGAGATGTATATATAAACATATATATTTGAAATTTAATTACTTATTCTCTCTCTACTTATTTCAGTACATCCATCAATGAATGTTTACAGACAATTATAATTCATTTAGGAAAATACTTAATGTTTTCTGCCAGGAAATGTATAATAAAATACAGCAAACTTCATAATTTCGATGATCTTATTACTTTAACAATCATTCTGCTATAGTTGCTTAGAGAACCAGGTAGGTAGCTAACATGACTTGACGGGTACTAGACTTTACTTGCAAGACATTTCAGTCTCGCATTCAATCCACGAACATTATGTATGTGATTGATCCTGTTCCCAGTGGCTCAGCGGTAAGTCTGACGGCTTATAATGTTAAAAATTGAGTTTTGATACCCGCGGAGGGAAGAACACGGATACCCCATTATGTATCTTTGTGCTTAACAAACTGAATCCTGAAAGAAGTGCCCCCCCCCCGGCGGCTCAACGGCTGTGTATAGCTTTGTGCTTAACAAGAAACAAACAAAATGATTCCTTCATTATCAATATTAATGTCTCACGGTACGTCTGAGGCCTTGTAACACTAAAAGTCGGTAGGCAGAACACAGATAGCCTACAGTTTTGGTATAAAATAATTTAAAATTGTATACGAAGAAGGGCTAGATAGTTTATTCAAGTTTTCTCTGCTTTCGCAACAGCTGTCACATTATTTATATATGGCTTTCAAAAATTATATATTGATAATTCGAATAATAAAAGCTTTTTACTCTTGACTCAGAGAGTTTTCCAACGAACGTAGGCGATGTGAGAACAAGAAAAACTTTCGAAAAGCTCGCAGAAAGCAACTCTTTATCACCGATATGAATGGCTACTTTACCTGGATTTGTCAAGCAGGTGGGTTTTGCACGTAAGCCCTACTTTGTGAATCCAGCCACGCTACCAGAGCTATCCAATAAAACTACGATATATCAAGCATTGCAGAAAGTCTTAACACGTAGTAAATAGTTGGTTTGTTCGTTCCAAAGTTTCAAATATTTACCAAATGCTTTGCTTTTGCTACATGTGACACGCTTAGTTCATTTACCTTATTAAACTTGACAGATGATGATCATAGCAGGCTATATTTCCACTAACCTATTAGTTTACCTTTGATAAGAATCTATTAAAGCTTCTTTAGGCTGCCACTAGTGCAGGATAAACTATCAAAACACCTTCCATAAATAATTAATCAACCTATTTCTCCACTCCTCCAGGAAACTTCCTGAATGTGTAAATGTATTGACTAACTATTGTTTGCATTTTAATCGCAATTTGTCAACTATTAGGCTTGGCATGGTCTGGTGCAATCTTCGTGTCGCGAGTTCGAATCTCATCCCCGAACATGCTCTCCCTTTTGACTGTGGGGCGTTATAATGTTATAATAGAGCTATTCGATTAGAGTAGCTTAAAAGTTGTCGGCGGGTGGTGTTCACTAGCTGCTTTCCCTTTATCCTATCACTTCTAAAGTGGCTACCGCAAATGGACCTCTAGTAGCTTTGGGCAAAATTCAACTAATAAATAAACAAAATTTTCCTCTATTCCAACAACATGTTGCCACGAGAGAAAAAAAAGAAGAGACATCCATTCACATGAGATGAAAGGCATTGTTCGGAGGTTTGGTAATTAATGTAAGACTTGCCATGGAGTGATATAATACGGATTATGCTTCTCTTGTGATTTCAATTTTTTTAAAATTACCTGGAGACAATGGTGAAAGGTAGGAACACATAATTTAAGTATTTTACATGGCTTTCAGTAATCTTTTCCTACTCGCAGTTACGAAATGCGTTGAAAAGAGATAAGAAGCATTGATTTTAGATTACGGAAACGTTTGTCCATGAACAAACTCTACATCAAAAATAGAGAACATTTCAGCAGCGCCTTAAGTCATGCCTTGTGAACAGTTGCCACCTGGTGACTTACTAAAGAAGCTAAAAGTTTACTAAATACAAAAGAAATGTAACAGGTTTCAAGTAATTTGTTTTTAACTAAGAATGTTTTATACCATTATTCAACACTTAAATTTGTTTTCTTCAAATCAACTTATGGTGCAAGAATTTGTTTTTCAACAGTTTCACTGGAGTGAACAATAATTTTAATATGTTCAAAATCCTTCTCCACCTAGTACTATCTTATAAATATTATTAATTTCAGCTTGAAATTGTCTATGTTTATTTAAAACGCCAAAAGCTCTAAGCCACTGGTTGCAAGAAGTACAAACGAGAACGCAGACATTACTTTACAATTAAATAAAAACTACTGTATTTCCAATTTTACGTACCTGAGGAAATTATAATATTCCAATATCCAACTTACATACTAAATTTACTTGTTGATTAGCTACGAATGTCTCGTGTGGTTTCGTCTCTCAACATGTTTATCTTTTTACTCACAAAGACTTGTAATATTTTTCTGTTATTTTTGCCTACAGTTCTGACAAAGTTATATATATATATCATTTTTTCTTATCAAAATGAAACCATGAAACTGTTGTCTCACTGTGTTGAAAACAAAACAATAAACAACAACCTTCAAATCCAAGCTTTTCTAGACAGTTGTAATAGTGAATTTCCTTGCCCCTGTCCGGTAGTTTCCTTGCTGTTGTCACTGCTTTTCCTCGCTTTCAGAGAATTTGCAAAAGAAAGAGAAAGAGTAGAAAACAGGCAAGCCTTTCTAAAGCTTAGACGCCAACAACAATTAGAAAGGGAGCTAAATGGATATGTAGAATGGATTTGTAAGGCAGGTAAGGGACATTGTTATGTCTTAAATGTTACCTTTAAATACGTACAGTGGCCAAGGAGTAAATTACAGTGATATTAAAATAGATGTGAATAAATCAAAATTAATGTGAAAAGCACAAAAATAACTATAAAAGTATGCTGTCCTCCTCCTTATCGTGATCTTATCAAAGTATTTGTAAGCTAATGATTTATAATTATTACATGTAATTTACTTTTGGATCACCCTCTACTTTCCAATTACTGGATTAATTTTTTGTTTACGAAATATTAGATAAAGATTAAAACATTTGTTGATTTGTTGTTTATATTTCAGGGATTTTTTAGAATTTATTTTTTCAGAAAAGTTTTCTCTTCTCTTTTTCATTGTAATCTAAAAGTCTGTGTTTAGTCCGATAACAGGTGAACTTGACAAATTATGGTTTTTAAGTGACCGTATGTTTTTTATTAATTTATTTAAAAATAAATAGTAAGGCATAAAGGGAATTTAGATAGAAGAGTATATTTCACATATTTTTAGCCAGATCCCGTTTCTTTCAAATATAATCCTTCTTTCTGTAATATATTTGATGCCAATATAATTCAAACAATTTTGTATTAATACTTGATATATTGTATTGCTTTTAGTTAGTATAAATAATATCTCTATAATATTCTTATCATTTGTATGATATAAATTGTTAAGTAACTTATGGAAATATTTCTAAGTGGTATTTAACTCAACATAGAGTAACAAATGCTCATTTTACTTTAGAGCTGGTTTAATATTAAGATAAAGTGCTCCAAATTGGATTATCTTGGATTACCCCTTTCAATATTTCGGTATTCAGCAAATAATAATGTTTAAATATTTTAATGTTGAAACGTTTAATAACAGTGATAGCACCTAATGTTAATTGTGCACCTGATAAACAACAGTAACGTGCATAGGATATTAAAACGCAGGGGATCTTTGACAAAAATGGGCACTTTTCAAACATCGTAAGGCAAGACTTTTTGTAGGTGCTACGGGAGACTACAGGGATTGTGGGTTGCCTCTGGTACACATAGGGTAGAAAGCCATGAAAAGCGAACGGATAATCTTTTATTCCTATTTAATCGGTTTTATAAACTCTTTTAAAATCTCAACATAAACGGTGAATTATTGTGTATTAACAGTTAATACCATATCATATTTAATATATTTTGTGCTTTAAAGCTCTACAAGCCCTGTGTTCCATTCATTTTAAAGCTATAATATTTTTTACTAACTCGCAACAAGCAAGGTTTGGAATCGGGCGTGTGTTTCAGTAGTCTTTGGTCATTCTTTTATGAATGAGAAAAGCATACTTTGATGCATTACAGGAGGAAGACATGGGTCGAGCCCACCAGCCATTCCACTGTGCTTGTCACTGACAAACAAAGTAACTTATTATAAGAACTCCCATCATGCTACATCAAACCTCCCTCTGGCCAAACAACAATACAGATATCTGGTTTAGAAAATATAGCTTACAATATATTTTAAGTGTTCCTAACAATGAAGCCTATTATTAGAACATCTTATTAAAAGGAAATTAGCTATATGGATTGGGACCAAAACTGAACTGAAGTACTTAGCATTATACATCAATAGACCAGAAAACTAAAAAAAACAAAACAACAACAACCAAAAATATTGTCCTGAATAAAACCATCAGTTGGGAATACTCGCTGTTAACGATATCTTCGGCCATAAGATAACATAATTTCTTCCTATAATTATATTATATTTCGACATCGATTCAGAACGAAAGTGTTTCATGGTACAATGAGGTGTATAGTGATAAAAGTCTACAGCATCACAGAAAAGTTTTCTGGATCACTTTCAAAAATACGTATTGTTAGCGATAAGTGCAAAACACAATGTATAGTACTTAAAATTAAACATAAATCTGCACATTTTTGGAACTTTGATAAAAAGACTCCGATAATAGTCTTGGAACTTTTACATGCCCTTCTCGGTCACTTGGTGTCTCACAAAAATTCGTTCCAACGTGCTATTACACAGTTTTTAAAATTTCTTCAGTTCATATATTATTTTCTGTTTTATAGATGTGTTTGAATAATTTCTAGTTTATAGGGGTGGTCGAAGTATCTTTTATGTTCTGCGATCCTTGTGTTGATATTTTTTTTTCGTTTGACCAAGGTAAACTCTTTCCCACGACTGATCTAGAATTATACAACTAATGAAAAGAATAGCAAAAATTAAATATGATGTAGGAATGGCAATGCCAAAACGTACAGAAACAATGTAAGGATGAATACATAAAACCATATAAAATCACTACAAATGTAGCCAAATCTTTCCAATAATAACTTTTATCTACAACTAAATGGTGACTTCCTGTCAGTCGCATGAATTCGGGTTTGAATAAAAGCATTTAAACTGAACACTGTTATACAGTCTTACAGTGGCTATACCATAAGCTTGTAAGGTTGACTCAGTACTTTCTGGCTACTCATATAGTGATTTTTGTATGGTTTTGTGTATTCATCCCTACCTTGTTTCTGTATTTTTGGCATTGCCATCCCTACATCATACTTAATTTTTGCAACATTTTGTTATTACCGTGCTTAGTGATAAACGCCTTGTTTTCTACCTTGTTCTTATTTCTTATTTTAAGTTATTTTAATAGTGTTGGTACGCTTGTAACTAACAATAACTTTAATCGTTAGAATCTTCTGTGTAGTTTTTAAGTTACCACTGTAGTTGAAATAAAGTGGTGGGTTTTTTTCTGGCTTTTAGATGTGCGTTTTTAATCAAATTTACTTGATCAAATAATTCTTTCACAATATATAAGGTGGTTTTTTATTCTAATATTAGACGACTACTTATTCTATTGATTTTCAAAAACGTAGAGATAGAAGTGAACTTCTAACCATTTTGTGTGGCATAAAGGAAAACAAAATGGATATAGTTTCACGAGTTCGGTTTTCGGTAGGTCGAAAGGAAAGGACTCGAGTCCAGTTCGGTTGTATATGTATGCCCAAGAAAAAGAACGAATTCTTTTTTCTTTCGCTAATTCAATTTTAAATTTTGTAAAAATGGTTTAGATTGAAAATCTAACTCATTGAAAGACAAGATGGAAAATCAATTTTATTTATTGGTCCAAACTGAAAAAAGATGACAACATCTACACATGACAACAATCGAATCTTCATGTTGTTAATGAAAGTAATTCAGTTTCAAAATATTCCAGGAAAATGTTAGATAGTAATGGTGATAGTGAGTTTTCCGTTGTACTGTATTTCTGTCGGTAATACGGTCCTAAATATGAGTGCACATTGTTAACAATAGAAATTTCAATTAGCGAAATGAATGTTTCAACCGGAACTTGAAACATTACGTTAAGACTATCTGATCATTTTTTCATTACTTAGATCAAGACTGTTCTTTTTTATTTGCAAAATTCTCATTTTTTAAATATTTCTTCAAGGAAAGTTGCTAAATGTTTTGTCAACCATATGGATAATAAATATATTGTAGCATCCAATTTGAAATGACAACTCTAAGAGTCATAGTTCCTAAAAGGTATGGATTTTAGTTTAATTTAGAACTTCTATTATTTGTTATTAATAATTATCGATATATATCTGTAAAACATGTTATAGAATAACATGTTTACTCTAAACATTATCATGTAATTATTTTTTTTACTGAATAATTACTGTCAGTACAAACGAAGTAAAGTTTACAAATGATTTTAACCAAGTAGGGAAAAATATGGTAAAACTGCCACCTTGACTTTGAATGGATTTTTTACCAATTAAGATGATCGTCATGAAAAAACAAAAGGTTTTAAAATGAGCTTTTTGTAATTATAAATGTCATTTCTAATCGAAACAAGAACTGCACATAGACTAATTTAGATATTGGAAAAATACTTATCGTGGTTGTGGGCCGTTTTACCTATAAGGTTGGATAAAACGGCCCCACAAGATGGGATAAAATGGCCACAATATAATTCATAACAGATACAATTAAAATAAATGATGCATTTAGACAGCATTTATATGACTTAAAACCGTCATTTAAATGCTCCAGGCAGAGCGCCTTGGGCACAGTTTAGAACGCGAATATTGGACATTGATAAAAAAATTTCATGGGTACTAATGTGGGATAAGACACTCATTGTAATGCTATCGCACGTTACAAAAAAAAACAACAAAAAATCAGTGAACTTGAAATGTGTTTATTTTACGGAGTTTCCAGCTGCCTCTAACTCCTCGCTGTTTGAAATCAACAATGTGAAATTCTCTGAAATACTTACTTTGTAACTTCAAAAAATTCAAAATGCCTGCTTTAAATTAAATTTGTTTAATAAAATGAAGTCGCGTTTTGATCATTCGCGCCTGTCTTCCATTGTGTTTATTCACAGGATAACATAAGCAATAGTTACATATAATTCATTCAGATGGTAGCACTTCATAACTGATGATATACAGAGGTGGCCGTCTTACCTCACTTCTCGTCATTCTATCTAGCAGTGTTTAGTGTTCACCATTTTGCGGTTATCTAAACCACAAAGAATCACTGAAGAGTTTAAATGACGTATTTGTAACGTAGCCATAAGTCTGTAGTATAATAACAATAAGGTACAGCAAGTCTTATTTTGAAAAATTTGTAAAAAGTTTTCCAAAGAATTAGATTAGTTACTTGCATACGAGGATTAATACACATGAATTAGTTAAAGTAATAGCAAAGCTTACCTGCTTAACCCCAATAGGCTCATTCTGTATGCCTGATATTATTAGTTTGTGAGAAGGTATTGGGTTTAGTAAACTAATAACTCGATGTAATTTCTTGTGACATTCAGTTTGATCCTAAAAAAGCAGGTACAATCAAAACTGCATAAAGAACACGTTGAAAATCTCGAGAGCTAGAGGTCTTTAATAACATAAAACTTCCTTTTTTCCCCCTGCAGAAGGTTTTACTATTTCATACATCGGGCTGAGGAACGAAAGGTCTAAAGTTCGAGGCATAATGATGCCCGAACATGCTCTATATTTTCTGCTGTTGACGCTTTTTCTAAAGTGATAGTCAATCTCATTAATGCAGATCAAATAAATGAGTTCTTGTAGTGTAAGGTGTTGTTTGTTTGTTGCCTTCCCTAGGGTTAGTATTTCAAATTAGGGACTGCTATATCTGAACCCAATCATTACGTGCCGTTCAGGTTGAAAATTCCAATTTCCGAAAAAGCGTGTGTTATCGGGTTTCTTATTGTGTTAGTGGAACTGATTCTTTAGAAAAAAGTATTTATTAAAGATAATCATGCCTTCCATCAGTTTACATGTAGGCCACGTTTACTGCGGGAAATTAATATATAAAATAACGGTGCCCAGCTCCGCAATAATAAGGCTTTTAAACAGATTAAAACATTTCATGTGAAAGTATTTTATCCAATATTATAACAAACACTATAGAATAGCTATTACATGGCACTACTAAGTTTACTGATTAACACGATACAAAGCTACAATAGTAACAATTTCGTAACATGTACGAAATATTACCATATTTAATAACATTCCTATTTTTTACTCGTATATACTATTTTCACAATTTAAATAGTTCACAGAGATGGTGTAATGAACATTTAAATAAATGTTTCTAGTATTAATGTTTTGAATTATGGCACCAAAGCGAACCGGCAGATAATTGTGCTTCATTATTTATTGGTATCCTGGCGGAGTAAACCATTATTATTGTTTTGAAAATGTAAAAATTTGTACTCAGTAACGTTAAATATGGCATCTTATTGTCACACATTGCAATGTTACTATAGGTGTCAAATAAACCACTTTCGTCACGAGTAGTCTTCGATAACAATATAGTGAAACGTAATTTTTAATGGCACGTAATATTCCATTGTTTCCTTAGTAGGATTCTTGTAAGTGGCCTTTGATTTTTCAGTATTTACTTTAAAAGGACTTGAATAAATGCACGCTCGGGTTTCATCTGTCCTAAAAAGATAACTCTCAGAGCTATTAAAGAAAAATATTGATGAAATTTTTTTCGTTAGAAGTCTAACAATAATTCAGAATTTGATGTTATTGTATTATTGACTAGCCTGTCACATCAAATCGGTTATTAACTTAATATAAAGTATGTCAACAAGGGCCGAGTTTCTAGCCTACGAAATAATCGTCAAAACTAAACGTACGATGTTATATGTAAAACTGTGTCTGATAAGTAAGATGACAGTCTATAAATGTGTGTTGGCTTACTTGTTTTCCTGACTTTTATGCATATATTTATAACACATAAAATTATTCACTGTATCCCAACTGGTATCTATAATTCGTAAAAGTATTAAATATACATCTCTGCTGGCCATCTCAATCCAAGGTGTACTGGTGCGAATACAATAATATAGAAGAATGAAATAATGGCCTTCTTGTTTAATTAATTTAAGAATGTGACCCTTGCCTACATGCCTACTGTAAAATGTGCTCTTATTGTATTTTTGAATTAATTAATCACTTCAATATGTTCCTCACTAAACATTGCTTTCTTGTTTGTTTCTTATGATAAATTTAAGGTATTTTTTTATTCCATTACACATGCCTGCGAATTTAAACTTCATAAAAGTTTTTTGGGTTTTAATAACGGAGTTTCCATAATTCAGCTACGCAGATTTTGAAAATAATATTCTTTTTACACCAATCACGTACGGATTTTTTGCAAATCGGGAAGGAAAAAAACTCTTACTTTTTTCAAATTATTACTTCGTTTACCACAATGAACATTTTTCATTATTATGTTTATTAACAAAATATAAATAAACTGAAGTAAGGGGAAAAACATTGTTGTCAAACGAATATGCATCCTCATTCAACCTGTTTTTGTTTTGTGAAATATACGTGTTTTAATCTCAAACTACGTTGTGTGATATTTTCTTTTATGTGTTACATTATGACGTTTTATGAAAAATCTGTATGTGATGGAGAAAAAAGAATATCATTTTCGGATTCAACGTACAGGAATTATTGTAGAACATGTTAAAAATTTTAAGACAATAAAACCATCGCAGGCCTGTGTTATCGCTTTAGATAGTATTGAACCGCTTCGTGTAAATAACTGTAGTGTCGTTGATATTTTTTTTGTACTTAAATCAACCCAATTAGAAATACACTCATGAAATCTTATAATGGTTTAAGTCTGTAATCTCCCCAAATCAGCAACTCCACTTCAACATCAGTTGATGGCAATCATATTATTCAACTTATAGAACATCATTTAACTAGATTTGTGGAAAGATTTCTGATATAAGTTTGTCCTTTCTGTCGTGTGTTTCAGACGATGCAACATCCGATACGACACTCATTATTTTAATGCACAGCTTGTCAGCGTCACGGATTTTGATCATTAAGCCAACACAGTCAATTTATTTGTTATTAACTGGTGATTTCAATAATTTTGTTTCGATTTAAACTTGTTCTTTACATCGAACTTTTTTTTAGTTAGCCGTCTGCAGGTTTATTACAAAACTAGGACACATAAACTCGCATATTTTATCAAGTTGTTTCACTTGTCCTGGGCCCGGCATGATCAGGTGGTTAGGGCAATCTGTAGGTTGCGGGTTCGAATCCCCGTCTCACCAAACATGCTCGCCGTGGGGGGCGTTATAATGTTACGGTCTATTCCACGAGTCGTTGGAAAAAGAGTAGCCCAAGAGTTGGCGGTGGGTGGTGATTGACTAGCTCCTTCCCTCTAGTCTTACACTGCTAAATTAAGGACGGCTAGCGCAGATAGCCCTCGGGTAACTTTGCGCGAAATCCATAACAAACAAACAAACCCTTGTCCTGAACCCAGTTATTTTAATATAGTTGATATTCTAAGATGTGTGTAAATAATCCAACTCGTGTGTCATATTATTTAGAATTTTTAGACTATTTTTAGATCCTGATGAGTTTTTATGTATAAATGAATTTGACTTCAATATTTATAAAGATTATTCTTCAGAATTGTATAGGCAGAAAATAACTAATAGATCACTATCGAACATTTCGTCTAAAATATATTTTTCCTTTAGAAAAAAGTAACATAGTGTTTTAAAAATTAAAACTGAAAAAAGAAAAAAGTTATTCAAAGCGATTAAACAGTTATAATAAAATTTTCATTGTGGCTCAGAGGAAGTAATATTGGCCGAAGAACGAACAACAGAAGAAGAGAAAATGCACATAATAGAAGGTAACTGCTCAAATTTATTAGTTTGATTAACTCTAATTGTCGTGAAAGATAAATTATGTAACTGCTCAAAGTTATTAATTTGATTAACTCTAATTGTCGTGAAAGATAAATTATGTAACTGCTCAAATTTATTAGTTTGATTAACTCTAATTGTCGTGAAAGATAAATTATGTAACTGCTCAAATTTATTAGTTTGATTAACTCTAATTGTCGTGAAAGATAAATTATGTAACTGCTCAAATTTATTAGTTTGATTAACTTTAATTGTCGTGGAAGATAAATTATGTCTGTAGATATACATATTTAATTGTAAGCCATTGATTTGGCGGAAGAGCTTTGAACGTAATATTTTGATTCATATAGATTTAATAGATTAAATAGAAACCACACCCCGAACAGTGAAGTCTTTTCTGCTTCAAACGTTACGAAGATAAAGTCTAACTGTAAAATGCTTTAATACCGTTTCGACACAGAAAGTTCTTAGATAGCATGGCTTCGTTTTTGTTATTTTTTAACAAAAAGAACCTATGACAAACTCAAGATGGAAAAACCGTTCACAAAGCACTGAAGGCAGAACAAAAGTATCTAGTTGACAGAAAAACAACACATTATAATATATAGTTTTAAAATAAATAACATGTACAGACATTGATGAAATTTTATATTCTCGCCTTTCATCCATACTCACCGGTAAATTACATGTTTTTTTCTGATCCGTGATCAGCAGCCAAACAACATGTTCTCCCTTCTTCACCATGATCATCAGTACAACATGTTCTCCATTCTAGTCCATGATCATCAGTATAACAACATGTCCTCCTTTCTCTTCCATGATCATCAGTATAACAACATGTTAACCCTTCTCGTCCATGATCATCAGTACAACAACGTGTTCATCCTTGTCGTCCATGATTATCAATAAACAACATGTTCTCCCTTCTCGTTAATGATCAACAGTAAAACAACAGGTTTCCCCTTCTTATCCATGTCATTTGTGTAACAGCATTTCACTTAGCGATTCGGGTGTTTTCTTCTTTTGACCCTGAATATTGATAAAGCATTTCAGTCTTGTTTCTCATCTCTGATCAGCAGTGAAACATAATGCTCAGTTATTTCATCCATGATTACCGATAAAGCAAAATATTGTGTTCTTCCATGCATGGTCATTGGAGAAACATTGTGTTTTTCTTTCTGATCCTAATTTTTATGAGACATTATAATCTCATCTTTCATCTGTGATCATTGATATGAAATCATGCTCTATAATTTTAGCATGTTCTTCACTATTTGCTATAATCATTATTAAAACAGAAAATATATCTTTTCTCTTACTTCTTACTAATAACTTTCTCTCCTCCTGCGTCTAATCATTAGTCAAATTACACATGTCTTCTCATTTTCACTATTCAAACATTAATTAATGGTTCTTATGAAAGAAGGTAAAGCAATACGTTCTATTCTTCTGTCTGTGATCAATGGTGACATTTTTTTTCTTATCTCTGGGAAAGCATTGTGTTCCTATATAAACACTTTTATATTCTGTCTTCATTAGTAAAGCAGTATTGTTACATATTTTATTGATGTGCATTGGAAAGATAGTATAGATTCTTCTGTTTGCCTTGATCATTTTTGGAATAGTATGTTTTCTACCTTTGTTTTTGATCATTTTTGGAATAGTATGTTTTCTACCTTTGTTTTTGATCATTTTTGGAATAGTATGTTTTCTACCTTTGTTTTTGATCATTTTTGGAATAGTATGTTTTCTACTTTTGTCCTTCATCATTGTTGGAACAGTATGTTCTCTGCCTTTGTTCTTGATCATTCATAAAGTAGCACTTTCGTACAACACTGTTACAAACTACAAGGATACGAGAATATGTATAGTTTTTTTATAACTCAATTACAGCAAGTTAATGTTTTAAATTAAATAATAATGTAAAGCGTCCAACATTATCAGAGGATAGCTTTTCTTAAAAGCCAAACGTTCATTTGGTGGTGTGTATTTGCTTTGATATTATTCACAAAGCTACACAATGAGATTTTGTCCACCATATGTATCGAAACTCGATTTATTAGCGTTATAAGCCCTCAGACTTACCGCTGAACCACTGGGGTCATTTGGGGTTGTATAACCCATTATCTGAGCAGGATATTTTACGTGAAGGAACTTCGATTTCTACCTTGTGTGAAGACAACAATTCAGTTAAATAATTTTGTAATGAGAAATGTAGCTGAAATAATTGAAAGTCAGGTAACCTAAAATATTTCAAAATTTATATTTAGAAGCATATTTTTAGAGTATTGATTTTTCTCGTACATAAAATATGCAGCAACATTAATCTAACTAAATTAATTAATTTAACATTAATCTAATTAAAATTACTAATGATTATTTTCACATTACATGTCTTTCCTGTAGTCTCAGAAGCTACCACACTTAAGAACTTAAGTCATTATTCTATTACACTTGTCTTGCACTTCCTGGTGGCTGGCTCAGCGATACTTTGAGGGCTTATAATGCAAAAATGTGGGAGTCGATCCCTTCGTTGATCAGAGCGTCGATAGTCTATTGTACAGCTTTGCGACTAAGACATAACAAACAAATAAAACCACTTTCTGAAACTATCCTTAATTTTTTTATCACACACTAGTTTGTCATAATAAAATTAACAATGCCGAAGGCAAACTGTCAAGAGAGACTTGAGATTTTAATTCATTTATTTTATGCTTTATATTGTTGTGTATTTCGGTTAATAGTAAAGAATGGCGTTTCGTTGATACTTAATATAACAAAAACATAAAACTTTTAATCACTGTTTTCACGAACATTCCATTCTGTTGTTGTCGCGTTTTTCGATCTCAAGACTAAATTATTTTGTCGTCCATTTTCATTAATTTCAGCACGACGGAAGGCCGCAGCAAAGAGGAAAAAGTTAAAGAACCTTCATAGTAAAAGCACGGATGAAGATGACGAAGAGGAAATTGAAGATGACGGTAAGTTTCGAGAGTTTTCTTCGTATTTCAAATCGACTGAAACATGTATTCATCAAAAATAATCTAATTTGAACGATAATGTCGAAAGAATCGCTCCACAGCTCTTCTAGTTTGTAGATACGTATTTCCCACACCAAAACTGTACAGAAAACATGACACTTATGCTTAGGGCTAAGTGTGGCCCAATGGTTAGCGCTCCGGACTGTACATCTGAGGCTTCGTGGCTTGCCGCTCGAAAAAAAAGCGCTCTTTGAGACCGTCGTTGAGTGATGGACAAATCCCACTGTTTGAGCTGACAGAAAGTAGCCCAAGAGTTGCATTCCCTCTAGTCTACTATTTCAAAATTAGAAGGCCTATCGTAGACAAACCTTGTGTAGCTTTGCGTGAAATTCAACGAACGAACAAGATTAACTCTAAACACGTTAAGTGGATATGATTGAGTGTCTTCTTTGAACATTCATTTTTATATTATATAATTACAGAGATAGAAATGTCCACGATTATCTAACGAGTATTTCTTTTGAACTAATTTTCAACATAATTCCTTTATACTTCAATTTTTTTGAACTCTTAAACCTATGATAAACAGTGAAAGAGATAAAATGTTTGTGACCAACGTCTGTTTGTTTGTGTTAGCGCTATCTGCGATGTGTTTATCGCGTGGAATCGAACTCTGGATTTTAGCGTTATAAGTCCGTAAACATACCGCTGACTCACCAGAAGACGCCACCAGCGCTGTTATAATTTTATTCCAGCTCACACAACTGAGACATTATATGATATGTAGTTGTTTGTTTGTTTGTTTTTTATCATAAAGCTCCAAAATAAGCTATATGTATTATGTCCATCGCGAGTCTCGCAAGGCCTGGTGGTTAGGGTGCTTGACTCCAATCTGAGGGTTACGGGTTCGAATCCCCGTCCCACCAAACATGCTCGCCCTTTCAGCTGTGGGGGACGTTATAATGTGACTGTCAATTCCACTATTCGTTGGTAAAAGTGTGGCTCAAGAGTTGGCGGTGGGTGGTGATCACTAGCTGCCTTCCCTCTAGTCTTTCACTGCTAAATTAGAGACGACTAGCTCAAGTAGCCATCATGTAGCTTTGCGTGAAATGCAAACCAAACTAAAATGTCCACCGCAGGGAATCAAACCTCGGGTTTTAGTTTTATAAGTCTGTAAACGTATCACTGACCCACTGGTGGATATATGATATGTAAAGTGTAATATTAGTGATATTTTCTGAATTCACAGGAAAAAAAGCTCTACGTGAGTCAACGGTAATTGTAATTATCTTGATTTTTCTCATCGCATAACAGAGTAAATTATTATATTGTTCAAATGTTATGATTTATTGCTTGATTAAACTTTAAAACACTCTGTGTTATATTTTCTTCGAAATCTTGCTTTTAATCATTTTTACTGGATTTTTTTCTGCTTTTCTGTACCATTAATACAAAATATTCTCATAAACAAATAATGATTGTTTTCAGCAATGTTCTACCTCATAAATTTGATTACTTTCAGTGGCTTAATTATTCCATATTTATTTGCAATGTATTTTAATTATATTAACTTATTGTATGTTGTATTGCTATTGTTATTGTTTTTTATTTGTCGCTGAATACAGCTATATTGTGTTGCAAGAATTTTTTGAAAGCTAAAGCTGCAACTTGCTTATTTATATTTAACTTAACGTAACTCTTGGTGCAAAAAACACTTGGAAGTTAAACTTTATACTGGAAAAAGAAAAATTTCAGATTGAGTTAATGTTATGCAGAAATTACGTATTAATTAATTATTCGTAATTATTTTATTGCTCATAAAACTGGGCTCATTCGAATGGAGTAAGAATATTAAATAAACATGTTGAAAATAAAATATAATAATTAAATCCTAAATTCATTGAAATTGTTCTGCCCCTCTTGGTAATATATGTCAGCTGTTGTGCTTTTTGAGAAGATGGCGTTATTTGTACGGTATTTAACCAACGTTTTAATATAGTTTTTACGAATTATTCGAAAGACCAGATTTTGATATAACAGAAGCAAATTGACCGATTGCGAATTGCAGCTTTAAATGTGTTCGTCTTTAGTCAATTTTTTTAATCTCATATTGTAACTGGTAACTGGCCTTTTTTAATCTCGATTCCTTTATTTTTTACTACCAATTTCGGATAATTGAGTTCAATTCACTCTGATTAACTAATCAATTCTTTTCTCTCTTCTTTTGCATGCACTTCACTGGGTTTTGATTCCCAACATGCACTTTTGCTTCCTGCAGTGCCTACTAAGAAGATTAGGCTGAAAGGTACTGAATTGCAGCTGTAACGCAAGTTACAGATTCTAATAAATGATGTCGCTCTGAAAGAGGCGTCCATAGTAAAACCGTAGTCCCCAGTCTGTAGAATTTTGTAATTCAAAATGTCTGTTTCACGTTTAAAACCACTTTACCTTGTAGATTAGATTAAAGTTTAGACCATTGTTCGAGAACAACAGGTGTATAGTGATTTCCAAAACTCTAATTATACACTACAAATTATTATTTAAGGAAATTTTGCATAACATTACTTTTATTAACATTACAAAGTTCATCTTTCTATAAGCTTATAAGCAATCAGAATACGCGTTAAATGTAAACATTAAATAAGTGTTCTCATGTGAACTAAAGAAACTACACCAACGTGCCACAAGGAACTCGCTTTCACTTTTATTTCCCTTATTAGACTTTCCCTTTTAGGTAACAGTAGATTATGTAAATCATATCATTTTAGAAAGTTTTTATTCTCACTTGGTAGCCTCTGGAAAAGGTAAGTTTTTTGGATATTTATATATATACATTATGACTGTTTTCTTTACGCGAAAAGGCATTGTCAGTGAGTTCTAAGTATAGGAACAAGTTTTTCTAAACCTTTAGTAACACAAAGTAATTTCTGTAAGATTTTCTACTAAAAACTATTCTCCTGCATGTCATGATTTAACTATATGAAGTTTATTATTTGCAATATATCTGAATTATGTTTGTTTGTCGACTGTAAAACACGTTCTTTGAAAAAGGTTTTGTAGGAAATGATAAACACAAAATAATAGCTAAACTTTAACTATCCACTATATTTTGTGATTGTTAGACACAATTGAAATTCATTGTTACAGCTACTTAGATATGTATAACAGTACTAGTTTTACTCCTCTCCCCTATATATATATACATACTAAACAAAGATTTAGCTTCAAACATACAAGGTAAATTATTGTTATTGCAATTGTGTTAGTACAGTTGTAGTAGAAAGCATACATACTAGTCGCAATCCCCCTTACTTTAATACATAATAAACTACATGCATGACATGATTTATGCGCAACGGAAAAAATCCACAATTTTCTTCCATTAATTTCTAATGGATTACTCCTATGACATGGTTCATGTATGACATAATTCATGTCTATATAAATCCACATGTTTCTTACATTCATTAATGTTGCCTACGAAGTCTGTAGCGACGTGTATGGTAACAAAACCACGAACACCGTAATGTCTTATAGGTTTCCGTTTTATTTTTGATACGTATGCTCTAAATGACATTCATAAAGTTTTGTGCTATAGTATTTACACTTAATTACAGTTTCAAAAAGGTACATAGAGTATATTTGGCCAGAGTGAACGCAACACGTAAGTCAGATCACAGCAAATCTTAGCACTGCTTTAAGATATGTTGACGATAAATACTTCTGACCTGACTGGAATTCCTTCGCTCTGTCTCTGACTTTTATAGCTAAGACCACAATAAGATGATAAGGGTTGTGAGTGAGTTGCCCCAAAATTGTGTTTACATGTCCAATTCTCAATTATCAGAACTTCCTTATAAAAATTCCAATTTCTTTTCACTGAATAACTAACAGCATTGAGTTTTCTTAAAATACGGACTAATGAGAGGATACGGATATTGGCGTCTGGTCCATTTCGTGTTTTTACATATTATATCAGCTGATGCTCACAGTGTTAGGACTAAACGAATAATCGTTCAGAGTATGTTGAAAATGTGTTATCCTCTCCCCGAATCTTGAATATGTAAAACAAGTTTCTGTAAATGTTATGTTGTAATCAAAAGCTGCCTGAGAGATACGTAAAATAAACCTGATTTAAAAGTCAGTGATTTTTAATGTTTTAAAGACACTAATTAGATTTAGTAGTAAATTATTTGTATATGTTATTTAGCAGTAAAATTATTTGTTATTTTTCTAAATACTCACATTCGTATGTAGGTGCGTAAGGGAACAGATATATATTTCTCATTCTCTTATTAATATTTTACCCTTCAAGGTTTAGCTCGGGCTTCCTACTTCAAAGCTAAAGTGAAAAACAAGGGAGCTTGTAAGGCATTTTGGAGAGCAGAGAAACGTTTTAGGTAAGTATATGTAAATTGAGTTTAAGCATGAAATTATTATTATTGGTTTAATTTCTTTACAATTATTATGTGAGTGGCATCTTGTAATTTGTATTTCATTCTGTCAACACTTGGAAGAGACTCAAAATTTTGGTACAGTTTATTAATAAACATTTGTAGTATAGACATGCATGTTCGTATTTTATGTTTTGCATCATAACGTTTAACCTCAGAATACTATATAGGTATATGTATATACTTAAAATACTTAAAATATTATATAATGGACTGCGAGGGTTTTAGTTTCCGCTATTGATAAAGTAGTCGACGTCTTTAAGTACATATTATGGAGAAAGATTCACAGGATCGCTATCGCTGCTTCAATTTTCAACCTTCCTCAGTTTAGTGTGAAATACTTCGTTATAAAGGTTTATCTATAGTATTATTTATGAATGTTTGTATTATTATTATTTTGTAGAATGCTTATTTTAATTATAACTCTCTGTAATTAAACATATGTCCAGCGTTCGTGAAGAAATTTTAACCGACAGACAGACCAGTTATGAAAGAAAACATTAACAATTATATTTTTAAAATGTCTAGAAAAAATTAATTCCATTCACATTATACTCACTCGCTAAGGAATTCGAACAGGCTCAGCTTTTATAAATGTAAGTTATTTGGTAAGGGATCCTGAAAACCATGTTATATTATTGGGCATATGCAGTAAAATAAGGTGTATTAATGGAATTAAGGAGTAAAACAAGGTGTATTATAAGACGTACGAAGTAAAATAGTTGTATTATTTGAATTAAGGAATAAAATAAGGTGTGTTATTGGGCATAAGAAGTAAAACAAGTTTTATTACGAAATAAAATAAGATATATTATTAGGCTTAACAATTAAACTGAAAGATGTGCAGAGTTTTTTTTGTAATTTTTTTTAGGTTTTTAATTCGACACTTGGTGAAGACGCAAGTGTTTTATTGGGTTGTAATAGTGCTCGTGTTTCTAAACACAGTGTGTGTAGCCATAGAACACTACAACCAGCCTCCGTGGCTCACAGATTTTTTATGTAAGTAGCAAAATGATCATTTTAGGCCTTTTTTATTTGTGTTCAATTATAGGCTGTTATATTTTACGCCGTTTAAATTTGGATAATAAAAAAAGACGTACATTGTGTTTCAGATACTGAATATGCTTAAAATATCTTGAATTTACGCTCTTGTGAGTTTATTCTTTGGATTTTTAACATGTTCAAGAGTTATAAAATATCAGTTTATATCTTTATACGTTTTAAAAAATCAGCCTGCTGTAGTTATTATTAAATTTTTGTACGGTTAATGCATTTGCTCTAACTTCCTATATAAATGTTTCATTTTGAACCAGTTGTCATAATAGACAGACCTAAAATATTGTTTTTCTTATCATGTAAAGTTATTGTTGTTTATAATTAGTTTTACTGTTCTCTCATGTTAAACGCACTTTTATTTTATTCTTTTTAGTTTTTGCAGAATTTGTATTTTTGGGACTGTTCATCTTCGAAATGTTGATGAAAATGTATGCCTTAGGGCCACGTATATATTTTGAATCAGCTTTCAATAGGTTTGATTGTGTGGTAAGTATATATTTCTTAAAATAATTTGACTCTGTTTCTATTGCATTACTGCTAGATAAAATTGACCTTTTACATTTTTGTTAAAGAAGGCAGTTGACCATCATTCTAGAAACCTGGAAGTAAAAAACACCATAATTTAGAACTTTGAATTTATCATTAACCCACAAACATAATTTAAAGGTGGACTTATGAAGTATTTTTTACCCCAAATATTTTCTTCGTCTTTCACATGTACCTTTATGATTTTTATAAAAAAAATAATTGGAGGTATTTAAGAGTAATTCTTAAGAAATGACCTTTTCTTAGTTTCGTTTGGAAATGTAATAAGTTTCCGATTTTTTCTTATGTCAGGTTATTGCCGGTAGTATATTCGAGGTCATTTGGTCGAGTTTTAGAGATGGCTCTTTTGGTTTATCTGTCCTGAGAGCTCTAAGGTTGCTCAGAATTTTTAAAGTCACCAAGTAAGTATATATTCTTGGTTTTAAAAAATAATTTGTATTTCTTGTTTGTAGATGATAAATAAAAAGCATTACTATTATACTAAGAGTCGTTGATGGATACACGTCGATTCAAAAGTTTGTGTAGTGAATACTGACCAGTTCAATTTTTCTTACTTATTTCCAGAAATCATATCTTAGAAATCAGAAATCAAACTACAAAATCTAGAATGAATTCCGATGGTGATAAATAATAATCTTGACCTATGATACTTTGCTATAGAATGTAATTTTCAAGGTATTTTATTAGGTCGTCAAGAAATTAATGTCGCTTTTTTAAATGAAAAAAACCCGAATAAAAACAAAACATTTATTAAATAAAATAGTCTCCATTCTTGTCGTTGATGCTTTTCCATCTTACAATCACGTTGTTAATGCCCTGATTAAAGAAATCACTTGGTTTTGAAGCAAAAAACATGTCGATGTCTTTTTTAACACCTTCTACATTTGCATACGTTTTCCCATTGACATTGAGATGGTAAACTGATGGTGCCATATTTGGAGAATATGGTGGGTGGGAGAGAACTTACCAACCCAACTTCATAATATTGTGTTGCGTCAAACGTGCCACATGTAGACGTGCATTGTGGTGGAGAAGAAGAACACCTTTCCTATTGACGAGTGAGGGGCGTTTCTGATGAAAGGCTTGATTTAAACGTTCCAGTTTTTGACTATAGATTTCTGCATTGACAGTTCGTCGTGGATTGAGGAGTTCGAAATGAATTACATTTTTGATGTCCCACCAAAAGCAAAGCATCACTTTCTGCGGATGGAGTCCATGTTTTGGGGTCGGAAGTGGTTTTTGTCGAGGACTGGGCCATTGTTCTTGGCGTTTAATATTCACATATAGAATCCATTTTTCATCACCTGTGACAATTCTGTTCAAAAATGGTTTACGCGCATTACGCGCCAGTAAAGACGAAGCACCGTTCACAGGTTGTAAACGATCATCATCGGAGAGTTCGTGAGGCACCCAAACACCTTCTTTATGGAGTTTTCCCATATTCTTTAGAGGTTTACGTATTGTTTCATGAGAAGACATGCAATTTCAGGGCCATTTCACGAGTGGGTTGTCTTGGGTTAGACTCAACAAGTGTCTTCAGAGCATCAATATCACTTCCAACACGTCTGCCTTTGCCATCACAGATTTTAAGACTAAAGTCACCTGAACGAAACTCTGAACCATCGTTGACACTTACGAACGATCAAAACATTTCCATAAACTTCTTTGATATTCTTTATGGCTACAGAGGCGTTGTTTTCCTTCTTGTTTTCAAACAGCATTACATGCCGAATGTGTGTCTTGTCGAGTGTCATCACTATAAGGGAAAAAATATACTAAGCTTTACACATTATATAGGCAACACTTAACGTGACGTTTAGACAGTTCGTTTAACTATTATACGTGATGTACGTTTTTTGGTGGGTGGTTAATGAAAGTGTTCCAAAACGCGAAATTAATTTCTTGATGACCTAATATAAATTGTGAAAATATAGCGAAGTAAGAAGAACTATAATCTTGAACTTATTAGCTGAATGTGGCCTAATGGTTGATGTTCTGGGCTCCAGACCGAAAGGTCTGTTATTTGCGCCATAATGCTACTAAATATGCTCCGCGTGTTCATCTATGAGTGTGTTGTAGGAGTAACTGTCTACCTCGTTATCCGGTTCAAAGCTGGAGAAAGCCTTTGTGATAGCGGGTGCTGCCTTCCCTTTGTTCAGTAGCTCAAAATTAGGAAAGGTTATACTTAAATCACAAAGGTCTCTGACCTGGTCGTTTAATATATGTGCGCCTAACGTGCCGTTCAGGTTGGAAACACCAAAATGCCGATTTAAATCCATTCTTTAACAGAAACAGGAATATGTAAGTACTCTTTTATTTAGCTGTAAGTTGGAAATCTGTTCCAATGATCAGGTGAAACTGATTATACTCTGAAGCTTCACCGGATAATTCCGCTTGACAGGAGGTTCGACGTGATATGGTTATCCCAGAACAATGTTGATTTGAAACCAGCTGAGTTTAAGTCCAGGAATAACGAACATACTGGTCATAATGTGTAATAAACAAGGACAAGAAACTTTTTTAAATGTAAATAGACAAAAATACAAAATGTGTACTTGTGAGGATCACCAGATACAAAGAACTGTAACTCTTGAGAATTAACTCAAAATTGTCTTGAAATTAGCTTGTTAATTTGAAAGAAACCTTGTTTTTATCCACGGTTGGGGTCATCACGTGACTGGTCACTCTCTCTCTCTTGACGTTTTGTTTCTATAGATTTCACCCAATAGACTAGCTGAAGGATTTGAACTTTTTGGCTAGCCTAGACGATGAAACCTGATATGATAGAACGAACGATAAAGTCACAGAAGTGAACTGATTCGAAGAAAATCCTGACAATCTATTGGATTTAACTTTCAAATATTGAGAACTAAATACTAAATTTAGAATCAACATTAATACTACAGAAACAAAGAAACTATGCTATATTCCTATACCACAATGATTACCTGTGAGTTTAAAAATTGATAATTAATAGTAACTATGAGGCTTAGAATCAATCATTGGTCCGTTATGAACGTTAAGACGCTACTTATGAAACTAGCTAAAAACTGTAGAACCGATCTTTTTGTTATTCCAGGTATTGGGCTTCTCTGCGTAACCTGGTAATCTCACTTCTCAGTAGCATGCGCTCCATCATTAGTCTTCTCTTCCTGCTCTTCCTTTTCATCCTCATCTTCGCTCTTTTAGGGATGCAACTGTTCGGTGGGGCGTAAGTATATTGTCATATCTACAAACTGAATAATAATTGACAGTCAGACATGTAAGACAATTATACGTTTAGATTATTGAATGAAAATGTAACTTTACGTATGTTGTATTATAAGCTCATGTCTAATAATTATCGGGTGTGTGTGCGAATGTTAGATTATTTATTTGAGTTTTATGCTAGTGAAATGTTCTTGAAGTTAAATATACCTGTGTAACTGAATCGCTATAGTGTGTGTAACTTTTGAGTGAAATTATTATTGTTTTTATGTTGATTTTGATAACCTGTTAGAAGTAAGCGTATCATTTTCAAATATCTAATTCGCAACAAACATGTTAGATATCATCCAATCGTTAGTAGATTAGGATATTCCAGGAAGTATGCAATATCACAGCCAAAGGCTCTAAAGCTTTCCAATGTGTAACTTAACCTTCATTGGGCGTTTTCAGACTGACCTATAGCACACTACTTTCCAATGTGTAACTTAACTTTCATTGGACGTTTTTAGACTGACCTATAGCACACTACTTTCCAATGTGTTACTTAGCTTTCACTGGACGTTTTCAGACTGACCTATAGCACATTACTTTCCAATGTGTAACTTAACTTTCATTGGACGTTTTCAGACTGACCTATAGCACACTACTTTCCAATGTGTTACTTAACTTTCATTGGACGTTTTCAGACTGACCTATAGCACACTACTTTCCAAAGAAGTACCCGAGTACGTGTATCAGTCAGTTGTAAAAATCATTAAAGGTGTAGATTACTGTACATACAACGTAGTGTTTAAACAAGTGTTTGAGTAGTGTATGGCTGTTTTTCAAAGCAAACTTAAATAGGTGTATATATGAGCTGTAAAAAAGCATTAAAGGTGTACTTCCTGAACAGGGGTTGATAACTTTAGAGATGTACTTCCTGAACAGGGGTTGATAACTTTAGAGATGTACTTCCTGAACAGGGGTTGATAACTTTAGAGATGTACTTCTTGAACAATGGCGGCTCGCTAGAGGAGGAGAAAGGAGGCCACGCCTCCTCAGATATTTTGAACACATAAAACACGTTTTATTCATTATATTAATACCCATATTTTACTTGTTTTGGGATAAACTTTATAAAGAACTGCATATTTTTGTAACAGAACTCTCAAAAACCTTCTTTTCCTGTTTTATGTCATTAATCTAGGAGATATTTCATTATGTGAGACACATATCTGTTGTGCATTTCGGCTTATTTTTTTTTTTTTTTCTGTACAATTTTTCTTTATTTGCGACGAAAACAGCAGAACCTTTTCATCGAGTATAACAATGATTTTGAGGCCTGCTGGGTTCAATCAAAATCTAGGTTTAAAAACAACCAATGGAAATCATTTTAAGAAACATTTGCAACAAAAGGAGCACACTAGCCTCACGAGATGGTGGGGACCAAGATCTGGTACAAATTTAATGATTATTTGCTGTTTTTAAGGGTATAAACAAAAGTGAGTTTCATTAAATGATGTGCATCGACGTTGTTAAAAAATGCGACGATGTATCTTAACTTGGAGGTTATTTCGGAGTTTTACAGTTCGAACAATACTTTGGCCATGTCTGGCACGACGACGGTTGGTGGATAACAGCATGTTTACAGCTAAAAGACGGGTGACTAGAACTCGCATGTAAATAAATCGAGATACCTAAAGTTTATACGTCTTTTCCTGTTTTATATTTTTTTAGGTTGGCGTTAAAATATCGCCAGCTTCCACCTCAACAGGTGTGTGAATCACTTGCGAAAGACATACTTCGTAGACAGGTGCAAGTAACTCAAGAAGTAGAATTTACAGATGCGCGTGCATATGTGTCGGGTATTGATCGCTATAGAACTTTCCTCCTAAATAGGCTTAAGTGTCAGTTTTGAACGGCCGTAGGGGCGTACTTATAAACAGTGGTAATGATCAGTTATAAATAATTATGGAGGTGTATATACTTCACAGACACGTGTTTTACTCCAGTTCAAACAACTGGGGAGGGGTGCCGCACAAATAGCTGTGTGCTTCAGGTGTAATGACTCTATAATGGAAGTGAATGATTATATAAATAGTTAGCTGGAGTACCAGTTATGTAAATTCATGATTATTGAAAGGTTATCTTTTATCTTGGGACATGAAAAGTTGCTTCCCTTATATGCAATTGTAAGAAACGCAAAAACGCCCATAAGAGCTGCAAAACACAAAATGTGAAACCGCAACATTGCATGTATCTCCGCATGGACTCAACTAACCATCCTGCCAAATTGGGTGAAGATTCATCAACAGGGGGCGAAGTGGTAGTAATGGTAAAAACACGAAAACACGCAACAAACGCCCATAAAAACCGCAAAATGCAAAATTCAAAACTGAAAATGTGTATGCTTCTTTCCATGGACCCAATGAACCTCCATGCCAAATTTGGTGAACATCTATTTAGAGGGGGCGAAATTGTAGTAAAAAAGCAAAAACGCTCATAAAAACCGCAACGCAAAATGCAAAACTGAAAATTTGTATGTACCATACATGGACCTAATGAACGTCCATACCAATTTTGGTGAAAATCCAAGATCTCTGCGAATTTGTTACATCGACATACAACAGACAATAGACAGTACCATTATATTTATATAGACGTACAAAGCTAGTGTGTTATCTGTTTTCAAGAAAAGTAGTTACCAAAAATTCGTAGAGTAACTAATTAAAAAAAAAGTGCCCTCGAAAAGTGGATCTGCAGAAGAAAGACCCATCTTGGGTTACAGGGTAACGTATCTTTGTGTTAAATGGATTTTTTGAACCTATGTGTTTTCTAACATCACAATAAAAAATATGATATCACAAAACAACAGAAATAGTTCAACATATACGCACTAAGAAAATTAGTGCATTATTCAAGATATTTCTGGCACGGAAGTACAGAAGTAACTGTATTATAAATATTCGCAAACATATTCCATATTTCATATTTGGTTTAGTGTGTTTATTCTATAATTTATATTTCTAACTGTTTTTTTTTCATGATCGTCGCCTGTTATCGAGAGTTTGAGACCACATCAGAATGATGGCACGTGACAAAAATAACTCTTTTTTTTTTCTTTATTATTGTTATTAGAAAATTGGAAATCTCTATGGTTTGAATTAATACATTTTTTATTTTCAATTATATTTCATTCTGATTATTAATCGATTTTAATTTTCTCTTTCAACAGCTTCAATTTTCCCGAGGGCACGCCATCAGCCAATTTCAACACTTTTCCTATTGCCTTGCTCACAGTATTTCAGGTAAGAACGAATATGCTTATCATGTTCTTTCTTAGTCGAGCTTAGCAGTACTGGATAAAATTATCAAGCCTCTTTACGGTTTTTGCTAAAGTGTTCGGTACAAAAAAAAACAAAAAAACTTCAAAACATTTGAAGAAATTTCTATTTTTAAATAAGACTCAGCGATTAATTAATATCATCATCTAAAAAAAAACATCATACGTATGAAAACCGCATTTCAAACATGAACCTACGTTCGTTTGGATGGATATATTCAATGCTATTTTAACGATAAAATATAACACCGACAGAGGGGGGTGAAGGTTTGTTGTTTGTGATTAAGCACAAAGCTACACAATGGACTATCTGTGCTTTGCTCACCACGGGTATCGAAACCCGGATTCTAGCTTTGTAAGTCCGCAGACATACCGCTGTGCCACTGGGGGAGGCAGGGGGTGAAGGAAAATACGTCTAAAGTTTTCAATTTATCATTAAAATATATCAACAAGAATAATTTTCGGTATAAACCTATGTTTTATCTATTTTTACAGATTTTAACAGGAGAAGACTGGAACGAGGTGATGTACAGTGGTATTGAATCTCAGGGCGGGATTCGTAGTGGAATGATCTACTGTCTCTATTTTATTATACTGGTGTTATTTGGTAACTGTATCCTTTAGGGCTGGTTTCTGTTTATTTAACAGCGTATCTTTTAACAAGCAAAGATTCAAGATCCATGAATCATAGATGTGGTTCAAAATATTCATGAAAATCTTCAAAATGTTTCTTAAACTATAAAATAGACTCGGATTATATTAGCAAGATCTTTCTTTTTTCACTTTGTAGTATGAAATTAATTACAGAGAAAACTAAGAGTGAAATGGAACTTAGTAAATGTAAGTTAAACATCATGAAAGATTTATCTTATCCTGCCGGAATGCGAATCCGATGGTCCATGGTTCGATTCCCAATGCTACAAAATCGCTCTCTGCACTTAAGGGTCGTGGGTGCTTAATAGGATTGACAATCAGTTACCATTATTTGATTTGAGTATCCCAATACTTTACGGTGAGTGCTGTTGCCTGATTTCTGTCTACTCTATCAGTTCAAAATTAAATTACGAACACCTAGTGCAAATAGGTTAGTGTAGCTTTATGCAAATTTACCACACAAAACTTGCCACATAAACACACATTTTTTTCTTCTTGCCTGATCTTGAAAACAGGCTTAAGAGAAATGAACTTGACGTTAAGAGTGTATTACATACTTGTTAGTATTGGTTTCGATAATTACACACTTTATAGCAGACCTCATCATGACACATACACTCGTTTCTACGTACTTATAAGCTCTTGAAACGTTAATTTTTGTTTTTCCTTAATAATCATGCTTACCATACATACATAATGTCATCAGGCTGATAACATATCATACATACATGACGTCATCAGGCTAATGATGCATCATACATACATGACGTCGTGAGGCTGATAATGGTAAAAATCGTTTTCTAGAAGCTTTATCATGAACATTTATTTTTACACTTTTGTTTTTTACATCATAAGTGTATTTTTGTACATTTATTAGTATAAGATAAAGAAAAGATACGTCATTCATAGTTAGGACGCTTTAAATTTACATAGAATTAAGGTATTTGTAATAAATAAACAGTTAGCTCTTTATGGGCACTCTAGTTGATAAACAGTGAGTTTACAGACTTACAAAGCTCAAATTCGGAGTTCGATTCTCCGCAGTTGTCTGTGGCTGGATGACATTAAGATGAATGGATTGAATGAACTTGACTTCATACATGATGTAAAATTTCCACTTTAAGTCAATCTTATGGAACAAGCAAACAGGTTTCAGAAGTTTATTGATGCACATCAGACTCACTAAAAGCTGTTGAAAGTTACATACATAGAGGTAGCAGCTGGGAACGTATACAGGTATTGGAACCAGTTTTTGGAACTAATAACTGTTGTTGTGCAAACTGAAATATTAAGGAAGCTAATGCATGCTAACAAATTGGCGCCTGGTTAATCTGACAGTTTTATAACTTGAGTAAACTGAGGGGTAATTAAGGATTTATTATTGAAATTACTGGTTACTGATTTGTGATTACTCAGATAAAGCCTTTTTTTAAATCAATCCTAGAACTGAGAGTTTGTTTTGTTTGTTCTGAATTTTCGCGCAAAGCTACACGAAGGTTATC